TTTTATAACCATAAAATATCTAAATTTGAACTACTGCTCTTCGTTCCCATTCGCAAGCAAGTTTTCTTATTGAAATTTTTGCACAAAATTTGTTGCTTAAAATTTTATTTTGTTAAATATACGGTTTTTTTCTTCACTTTAAAAAATGATACTGTTCAGTACAAGGCGCTGATGGCTGAGCTGGATGAGAAGTCGCCAACTGCAACACAATTTAGTGGAGCAGGGAACACCAGCCTGCCAAGTGGAACGAAAACGGTACCAAGTTTAACGGTATTTTTTTCACGTCACAGACATTCTTTTTATCCATCCTCTGTTCTTATTTTCAACAAAATTTTCAGAAACGCCCTTGGCGTTTGTATTCGCATCTTTATAAGGCAATTTCCACTCATAAGTTTTTCTTTTTGCAAAGTTTTTTATTTGTTTTTCGCTTCTGCTTTCTGTTACCCCGAAAATAATGCTGAAGAAACATGTAGAGTAGTATGCTTATTGCAGAAACAGCAGACGGAATTTGAGGGATTTTTTGGGAATTAAGGGCTTCGGCGGTTGGTAGCGGTGGTTCAAAAAAAGCAGAGTCTGAAAAATGCAAGAAGAAACTCCTCTTGCACCGTGTCTCATAGTAGTTGCGTTTGTGCGACCTCAATAGCCGTCGTTAACAAAATTTTTTGGATTATTGGTTACGGGGCCCAAAGTTATTTCTGTAAGTGGGATATTCATATAGTTTACTATCGAAAAATCGAAACAAAATTTGTTTGGAATTCATTCTTTCTTAGAGATGGAAGCATTTAGAAGTAGTCCAAGAAGCTGCAGCATGTACCGAGAAAAATGCGGTCAAAGTAAGCTGATAATTTGAGTTATTGGCATAGGCTAGTACAAGTTTATCTTTAAAACGGACGAATAAAATAAGTTTTCTTAATATTTTATCCATCTGACGTTTTATTTTGCAGACAAAGCCTTCCCCAGTCTCATCTGGTGCACCGATTATTCGAATTAATTTGGCACGACAAAATAGTATGTTCATGATGAAATTTTCGCTCATTTTTGTTGCATTTTTATGCGTTTTTTTGCAGCTGTGCAATGCAGAAAAAGCATATTGACGAGAGGTTGTCTGTGTGTGTGTATCTGGTGTGCGCTGCGCATCTCTACCGATTTTTCATCTCGAGACCCACAAAAGCCATGGGGCTGAAACTTGGGCAACTTAATCTACATGCGTGTACGGGCCGCCATCTCCGAAATGGGCACTCTTACCGCATGGTACCCACGTACGGGCCCGCCAAAATTTTTTTTTCGAGTTAGTTAACTTTTCAAGTTGTTAACCAATTATTATTAACCAAGTAAGTTAAGTTGTTAACCAATTATTATTCAATGGTTTTACCACATTTTGATGCATTGGTAAGCTATTGTTTTACTACGGCTGCTCGTTATCGCTGTTGAAAGAACTGGCAGTTTTCGTATGTAAGCCCGTCGCATGCACCATACAATCTAACTGAATAATTGAAATGGCTACTAGTTGACCACTGATTCATATGCACAACGCTCTCCAGTGGTGTAGCTGACAGCCATGCCATTGACTTCGGTCTTGGACTTCCCGCATTCATGGTGTCACTAATGATTTATTGCTTTTTGTTAAAAATTGCGTAAAGAGCCATTGCATCATAACGATGTTATAATGATGATGATGCAATAGCTCTTTACGCAATTTTTAATAAAAAAGTGATAAATCATTATGTAACAATGGGATACCGTGCACTCAAGTTGGTCTGTCGTCCCAGCACATCGATGGCCTTCCAGCTGTCCTTTTGACTTATCGTGGTTAGCAGTCACTAATTTGTTTCATCCATCTCTGATGTTGCATTACATTCTTGCCATCTACCATCAGCTCAGCTTCTTCCAACATCATGTAGATATTTAAGCTATCCTTTTCACCATCAAATACTGACCCTTTAATTTGGCTACC